ATCAATCTAACAGATATATTTGGATATCATCTCTTTATTGTTGGTAATGGCCAAATGCATTTTCTTGTTCATCATAGCATGTAGGCAGTATGCTCTTTTGTTCTAGTTTACAATTCTTAGAGCTTGATTTTTGTTACGGTGCCGTGCTATGCTTGATGTTTGTTTAACACAACTCCTATGATATAAGGATTTTCTTTCTTCTCTTTTTTTTTCCTTCAGGTTTTGAATAATTTCATATATATACAAAGTTCTCCATTTGTAAATTTGCATGTCTTAAAGATTAATGATCAAAATTCACTTACATTTTCCTATGCGTAAAAGAACCTTAGCTGCCTTTGGAGTTTCTCTTGCCTTTATGGACCTATATATCATCCTAATTCATGCTTGGGTTGTTTTCCCCGTTTCAGGTAATGCAACACTAGACAAATTGGAAAATACATCCCGCACTGTTAAAGGTGCAAAAGTTATAGGCGAAGATGATAAAGCATTGGATCTTGTTTTGCTGTCACTGGAAAGATTTTCAAAATCGCCAGATTCTAATAGGTAAAATTTGGCATATACGCTGTTCATTTATTATATATTGTTGTCCTTCTACTTTGTCATAAGAACAGGAACATAAATAGGGTTCTTCCATAAGATAGACTCTAAAACAGGGCTGCAACTCTCTTCCAGTAAATTTTTGTAATTTATGACATTTTCCCATGCATGCATATTCACATGTCCGTTCATGGGTGTGCAGGGACAAAGATGTTGCTTGCTCTGTTCAGTCCCTCAGGATCATTTCCAATTTGGTTGCAGCTCGTGCCATAATTTCAGTTGGAATGATTGAGAAAATAACATGTGCGCTGCTAGACTTTACTGACACTCTTGTTGGGATGAAATCATCCGAGTTCAACAACATAATACCAAAGGTGAATTCTCTTGACCAAATCGTCTGGCAAGTGTTTGATTAGATACCTACTCCTGCTTTCCACTATCAACAAGTATAGGAAGTTCAAGGATTTGTAACACCGACTTTTTTTTTTTATCAGAGTCTCTTAGTCACTAAAAACTTGGTAGGGCATATTGAAGGCAATAGCATACATAGTTCCTACATCAGGCACTGGACCAAAGTAGTGGAAATCTTCATACAGGTGACCTTTTTTTGGGTGCACAATTCTCTTGTCAGATTAAACTACATGTACTTAATTATTACTTTATGTGTGTAGGTCGTTGGATGGGAAAGAGAGGGGACTGGTAGAATTATATATGAGGCCTGTTCTTGCATCACAACGATGTTATCTCGAATTGCTGAAGATCTTAAATCTTCAACTCCTGATTCTGTTTCTGAACAGATTTTGGAGCACGCTAACATGTCCCGCATAGTTGATCATTTGTGTCTTTGTCTTGCATCTTCTGGGTCGAGTTTAGCTTCTGGCTCTTCAGAAATGTTAGCAGCTGCCTGTGAAGCTTGTAGAGCAATATGGATTCTCATAGATACTTCCGAAACGTTCTTCAAGAGCGATAATATGAATATATTTCCTCTAGATGCTTTGCAGAACCGTCTCTCTCAGCATGACAACGGAAACACTGAGTGGGGTCCGTTATCTGAGAAACTTGTTGATACAGTGACAAGAACATATCTCCGATCAAAGCATGTGCAAGTTGCTGTCGGTCATTGCCTTCACCAACGAGTGGAGGCTCCATTAGTTGCTGCAATTCAGGTGATTATGTGATGTTCTTCTTCTTGCTTGTCGATCTTAACAAAATTGTTGTTGGTTGTCTGAATTCACCAAGTTACCTGATAACTTTTTTTTGGTCCACAGCTATAATTGAATTTATTTTCTTTCCGCTCTTTAAACTTAATTGGAAATTGCTTATGTAATGCTTCAGCTCTTGTCAAGATGCTGCCTTCACAATGGAATTATGCCTAGCATGCTTTGTGGTCTTCCCAGTTCACTGCCTATTACGACCGTGGTCAGTGGTGGAGAGGATGGTACAGTTATTTCAGAAATATTTTCTATACTATCCTATGCTTCATTATCAAGCAAAGACCCACAAACAGGAGAAAAAAATAACTTCGAGGGCAGACTAAACAATCTGGTGTTCCATTCATGCCTTCTGTTGGCAACCGTTGCTCAATGTTTGAAGTTAAGTGGGAGAAATTCTGCCCTGTTAATGCTTACAACTTCTCCGAGGAAGCATCTACATCGTCTATCTGCTATAGCCAATCATATTGCCTCAGATGATAAAATTGAAGCTTCTCTTCAAAATCACTCTGCTTCAGCTATGCTTGCCCTCGCATCTATTCTGTCTCTTGAAAAAGGATCTTCTGCTGAATCTTCTGTCTCTGAGATTGCAGTGCCTCTGATTCCTCGAGCTACTAAGCTTTGTTATCATCTTAGGCCTACGCCAAGTAATGAAGGTGAAGTCATATCACATTCTGCAAAGTTTACCAGATGGCATGGGCTTCTGGATGGATGTATCGGTTTATTAGAATCCAGATTGAAGTGGGGAGGACCTTTAACTGTGCAACAGCTTATTGCTAGTGGAACACCATTGCTTCTCATAAATCTGTTAGCTGGCAAACTTTCAAGTGCTTCCCCAGATGACATCAAGAAAACACCCAACAGGATTGGCTTGTCACCTGTTGGTGTTATATGGGCCATTTCGTCCATATGCCACTGTCTTTCCGGTGGCACTTTAACTTTCCGTCAGGTTCTTGTGAAGATTGAAAACATGAAGCTGATTACTTGTTTCTTATCTGATGCTCATATCAAACTAGTAAAAACCTGGGGAGGTCCTGGGGGAGGAAAGGATGGAGTTAGAGAGACAGTAAATGTGATAATAGATCTCCTAGCATTTCCTTTTGTTGCTGTACAAAGTCAACCAGGTTCATTATCTGCCACTGCTTCTGTAAATAGTGGTTTTATTCTCAACATGGGCTCTCCTGGTGTCCGAGTGTACCTGGAAGATAAAGATTTGCTAAAAGCTATAGAAGAGGATATGGAAAAATACATAAAAGTCCTCCTGGAGGTTAGTTCTTCGATTCTGTTTCCTTGATTTTACATACTTATGTTTAAATGTTGATTCGTTATTTCTCATGATTCATAATCTGAAATCTCGTTATAGACATATCACAAGCAGATCTTGACACACGTGATCAATATTTTCCGGGGGGAAAAGATCAGTTAGTGATGTCTTTGTTTCACTGATTTTTTGATAAATTTTCAGGTGGGGGTGCCGAGTTTAATCCTTCGTTGCTTGGAACACCTGGATTTAAAAGATTTGGTGAGGCCTGTTGCTTTTTTGGCCAAATTGGTGGGTCGTCCACGTCTTGCAGTGGATCTTGTTAGCAAAGGTTTATTGGATCCTAACAGAATGAAAAAATTACTCAACCATTTGAGTCCAAGAGAAGTCATACTTGATATTCTGATGATAATCTCTGATCTATCGAGGATGGATAAGGTCAGACACTGGATACATGATACATTCTATTTGTTACCTTTGCTTAGACACAGGACAGTGATGTAAACGATGTTATCTAATATCGTATTGTTGTCAACCGTACAGGCTTTCTATAAATACATCGGCGAGGCTTCTGTTCTGCAGCCTTTAAAGGAATTTCTTACTCATTCGGATCAAAACATACGGGCAAAAGCTTGTAGTGCTCTTGGTAACATGTGCAGACACAATGGATATTTCTACAGCTCTCTTGTAAGTTATAGCACTGGGATTCTTTTACTTTGAGGACTCCAACATTTTGGAAAAGAGTATTCCTTACATAGTGTGCATATTTATTGTGTGCAGGCGGAACATCAAATCATCGGGCTCCTCATTGATCGATGTGCTGATCCGGACAAAAGAACACAGAAGTTCGCTTGCTTTGCTGTAAGATTATAACAAACTAAGAAACAAATTTATTCTCCATTTCCATATACTTTTGATCAAATATTGAAAGAAGGCCTTTCCATTTTTATTTTTATTTTCAGATTGGAAACGCTGCTTACCATAACGACACGTTGTATGAAGAACTCAGACGATCTATAACGCAGCTAGCAAATGTTTTGACAACGGCTGAAGAAGACAAGACTAAAGCAAATGCTGCTGGTGCATTGAGCAACCTTGTTCGAAACTCCAACAAACTCTGTGAAGATATAGTCTCCAAAGGAGCTTTACAAGTTAGTACTACATGGATGTATTAATTTGCCAGGTCAAAATACATTAATTTATTGTGTTTAATTTTGTGTGTTTTCTTGTGATTTTGTGTGCAGACGTTAATGAGGCTGGTTGCAGATTACTCGGCTCTTGCCCTGAACCCGAGCAAGAAAGAGACAGCAGGTGAGTCACCGCTCAAGATCGCCCTCTTCTCATTGGCTAAAATGTGTTCGAACCACCAGATTTGCAGACAGTTCGTGAAGTCGTCAGAGTTGTTCCCAGTCATCGCAAGGCTTAAACAATCCCCTGAGGCTAACATTGCTCACTATGCTTCAGTAATTGTTGCCAAAGTCGGTGGTGATTCTTAAGAAAAAGATAACGTCCCTGTAAATTTATTGTATTAGGATACCCTTTGTGCGCTTTGTAGTCTTCTTATTACGTTGAAATTAGTATAAGAAAATGGGCCAAAGATCTAAGCTGCGATAAACTGAATTAAATTACCTCTATTGCTCTCTCTATTTAGGAGGTTGATACAATTCAAAAACACTTGCTTTGTCATGCTAGATTAACTTTGAGAACTTAGAAATAAGCTATACAGAGGAAGAAATAGCCAGTGTTTTATTTGGCTTCCACAATAACACTATGGTAGACCTTCCAGAAATTTAAGCTATTATCTCACTTCAACACAAACTAGATGTTCTGTCCTATGTTCTTTTTTGGAATTTCTATACTACAAAAAAAAAAAAAAACCTGGACCGTGATGACCACTCCCACAATTAATCCACGAAAAAGCATATGACAACTCTTCTGCAACTAGTCAGGCGCACACTCTGTGTTTTGCCTTCAGGCCATGAGTCTTCCAAAACTGAACATGCTCATATATTACACTAAAAGTATATGGACTGAAAAAAAGACATATACACAAATGTACTGAACAGGATATGCTAAATCTGTGACACATATGAACACAAATAGACGTTATTAGCTAATGGTACTGTAAGCGATGGCCACTTTGAGGAATCAAGAAATATACAACTCAGCTTGGCCATCAATAAAGAGACTCATAAATTCTTCTCCATCAACAGTCTCTTTCTCGATCAGGAGCTGTGCAAGCTTGTGTAGGATATCAATATGAGTTGTTATGATCTCCGTTGCTCTCTTGTATGCCTTCTCAACAAGCTCTCTCACCTCGGCATCTACGATATCTGCAGTTGCCATTGAGTAATCTTTCTGTGATGACATCTGCAAAAACATTTCAATCATATAAGTACCATTCCAAGTTGTTGAACCAATAACCGAGAAACCAAATTCAATTAGAAGTATACTTGTTGACCCATAAAGGGATTTCCACCAGGGCCACCAACAGCAACTTGTCCAATCTTTTTGCTGAACCCAAATCTCTCAATCATTTGACGTGCCACACGAGACACCTGCATGAAATCATTTGATGCTCCAGTCGTCACATTCTCATCGCCAAAGATCACCTCCTCTGCAACCCTGACATAGCATAGCCAACACAAGAGAGAGATGGTTCAACATACTCAGACCCTTCTTTCTAAATTCAAAACCCTGGCTTTTGTGATAAGACCATTACTAACTAACCTTCCGCCAAGTGCTACAGCCATTTGATTCTCGAGGTAACTCCTGCTGTACAATCCAGACTCAAGTCTTTCTTCACTTGGAGCAAAAAAGGTGAGCCCACCAGCTTGGCCACGAGGAATGATAGAAATCTTGGCAACCGGATCATATTCCGGCATAAGAGCACCCACTAGAGCATGACCAGCCTCTGCAAATTCAGATATTCATTTGAGGTGTTTAGAAAACATAAGTATCCCAGCTGCTCGCAACATTTAGTAAGAAAGAAAGCTAACCATGGTATGCAACAAGTCTCTTCTTCTCATCAGAGACAACTGCATTCTTCTTCTCAGGTCCAGCAATGATTCTCTCAAGAGCATCAGAGATTTCGTCCTTGCTTATTTCCTTAAGCTCACGCCTGGCTGCGAGAATCGCTGCTTCGTTCATCAGGTTCTGTAAGTCAGCACCCGTGAAACCAGGGGTCCTCCTCGCAACCTTGTCAAAGTCTACATCTTTACCGAGTGCCTTCCCCCTTGAATGAACCTACAATAAAACCAAACCCCATAGAGAAATAAGAATCTTTCACACAACTCCAGAGACAACCAGTAAACTTAATAAAACAGTTATGAAAAACCTGAAGAATCTTGACTCTGCCAGCTACATCAGGCCTATCCACCGTGACCTGTCGATCAAACCTTCCAGGCCTTAACAGAGCAGAATCAAGAACATCTGGCCTATTCGTAGCTGCCAAAACTATCACACCAGAGTTGCCAGAAAATCCATCCATCTCTGTCAACAACTGATTAATGGTCTGTTCTCTCTCATCATTTCCTCCTCCCATCCCAGCTCCTCTCTGCCTCCCCACAGCGTCAATCTCATCAATGAATACAATACAAGGGGCTTTCGACTTAGCCTTCTCGAACAAATCCCTAACTCTAGATGCACCCACACCCACGAAAAGCTCCACAAACTCTGAGGCCGCGCAAGAGAAGAACGGTACTCCTGCTTCCCCAGCTACAGCCCTGGCCAAGAGGGTCTTACCCGTACCAGGCGGTCCAACAAGCAAACACCCTTTAGGAATCTTGGCACCCAAGGCTGTGTACTTATCAGGATTCTTCAAGAAATCCACAACTTCCTGTAATTCCAGCTTAGCTTGATCAGCCCCAGCAACATCTGCAAATGACACACCAGTCTCAGGCACTTCCTGGAACTTGGATTTAGAACGTCCGAAATCCATAGGACCACCCAAGCCACCAGGGCCACCACCAGGACCACCCTGAGCTCGCCTGAAAAGCAGGAAGAGTCCACCAAAGGCCAAAATCGGGAAAATCAAGTTTCCAATGACAGTGAACAAGTCGTTGCCAGTGGATTCTCCCTCAGACACAGATATATCAACTCCGTTCATAGCCAAGATATCAATGAGGTCAGGGTCATTGGGAACAATCACAGAGGCACGGCGGTTATCAACGGCAGTAAGCTGAAGAACAGAACCGTCTTTGCTGAATCTAACTCTCTCCACTTTACCTTTCTTCACAGCATTAAGAAACTCGCTGTATCGCCACTGAGATCCTTCTGGAAGATCAGATGATTTAGGACTAGGAGCCTTAAGTATCTCGTTCTGAATAAACAACGGCGACGTCGATGGCTTCACTGCTTGAGCTTCAACAACGACAGATGGAGAAGGTGGTTCGTCCACTACAGCTAAAGCTCGCGGAGGCGAAGATGATGACATCGAGGAAAACAGAATAGCTGCTAAAGCTACTTTCGACGAAAACGGCGAATTGGGTTTAGCATTTGGCGAATTGTTGTCTTCATCCCGAAGAGACGATCGAGGGATTTGATATTTTGCGCGGGTGGCAAAGGGAAAAGGGAGCGAGGGGTTCCTGGTGGTTTTAGGGGTGGGAGAAGAGATTATGATATGGGATCCTAAGAAATTTGAAGAACGTAGTAATGAGTTAGAAGCCATTGAAGCAGCTCTCTGTTACTTCTCCGGCGAGAGAATTGGGATTGATGAAATCAAAATTCGAATTGAATTCTGAGAGAGGAGAATGAAGTCTTTTGGTTTTATGTAACGTAGAATCTCGCGACTTGGAGTTAGTCTACGTTAGCTATCTCATATCCACTCGTCCACTGATCGTAAAACGCCACAAAAAATTAATGTAAGAAAATCGAAAAAAATCTGTATAGAGAGGTCGGACACCTTCGGTTCACTTAAAATAAAAAAGCTCTACTGAACTCTAAACCAATTTTAATTCGGTTCGGTCTTCGATTTCTGTGGGATTTGGACCGTTTCTATAAACCGTAAAGTTGCGAATGCACCAGAGACAAGTCTTTACATTGTGACCTTAAATAATACAAACAGCTTTTTGTGGATGGATACATTTTTACAAACAAACCAAAAGGGGAAACAACATGACGCTTTCAAAAGGGTATGCTTGAATCCAAATAAAAGAAAAGAAATTCCAAACATGTCTTGAATGAGGCTCTGATGACTTCACCTAATAAGGGTGAATCACTTAAGCCTCAACACTGTTTGTAATAACAACATTAGATATTTCCCAACAGTGAGAGACTGAGATGTGTACCTTGTGTAGACTCCCTGTAGTGGTACTCTCCAAAATTTGTTGCTCCTTTTTGGAAAAGTGAATCTATGGCACAAGATCACAGTTGCGGTATCTAATGAGATGAAATAGACTATATATCTCAAACAGAAAACACCAGAGGAAGCACAAATGTGTGAGTGATAATAGTAAACTTTTTCTGCAATGAGCTGCCAAGAACATTGTTTGTAAGGAAGCATACCGAACTTTTTAATCTTTATATTTCATATATACCAACCACAAGTGTAAACTGTAAAACAACAGTAAAGGATTTGGACATAATATATCTGAATCTTCCTGCCTCTAGTAAGTGTCCCTTTTCTAATTGCTATATACATACAACAGAACTGTTATTTAATTGCAAAACTGAGACTACGTTGTAAGCCATCTCCAAGGTTGAGAACAGATGACAACCAAACCTGCCATAACATAAAGAGCCTTTGGTCAGATGATCAACCAAACCTGCCATCTCTAAATACTACCATCAGATAGGAAAAAAGGTAGACATGACAATATCTGCGCTGAACTATGTCACATAAGGTAGAGGAATCCACTAAATCATTTTAAATCACACATATACAAAGCTTGATTCCCAGTTTTCAGTACACTACAAGCAGCCAAAAGAGAACAGAATTTAGAAATATTACAAATTAAGTAAAAGCACTTCCTACAACTACTATGTTTCGCGTAGCATAACTGTTCTAGAAAAGATCAAGTGCACGGTTGGTTATTGACTATATGAACAAACCAGTGTTGTTCCCACGTTCTAATATAAGGAAAACAACTGAAAACAGAAAAGAAAAGTTTGCACAAAAGAAAAAAGGAAAGAAAAGAGAATCTGTCTGTCAAACCAGGGGAAGAAATTTCAAATGCTCCTGGTATGGGTTAAGAGACAGACTTACTTGCAACAGAATTCTCCAGCAAGCTGTATAGCACTATATTACGGGTTGAAGAAACTGGAGCCTTCCATGTTTAAAGCAACAAGAACTAATATACCCGTGATTATACCAAACCACAGTAATGCTGATCCTAAATTAAGAGGTTTTGCAGTTTCAGGTCAAGAAAGCAGAGGAAGGAAATCATCAAAAGAAATTGGGTCTCAGTATACCTCCATCATCGCCGGTGCCTCTACCAAAACTTTCAGCTAAAAATTCCGAATCTGATATGTCTGCACTGCTTTCTAACCCATTACTAGTATCTGCAGGTTGAAATCTTGCGTCCAACCCAGAGTTAGAAGGTACAGTATCCCCAAGAGAGTCACCACCAGAAAGTTCATTGTCTTCAGCTTCAGATGAAACTATGCCTTGAAATTCTTCACTCACAATCAATGCAGACAACACGTTCATAAATGACTCTTGACCAATCTCATCTGAAGAAACCTTATCTTTCCGCACAAATGAGCCAAGTTCTTCTGAATCTGACATTTCATCATCCGTAGCATCTGCATCAATGGCTTTGACATTGGTCCTGTCATCTTCTTCCTCCTCCACGTATGATTTGTATGTAAGCCGTACCAGTACCTCACCTGCAGATCCCTTTCTAAACAAACTCCAACCACCACGTAAAACCACTATTCTATCTGTAGGAACCGTATCTTGCAGTAAACTGAGATCAACCTGGACATATAATTAAGTAATAAGGCTATGTAGACAGCAACTTAGACATCCAGCACAAGCAGTAGAGATATGTTCAGAATACTACATAAACGACCAGTGCCTATCAGAGCAGAAATCACAATTTAAATTGTAGTTTCGCTAAACACGTATTCCTGTTAAGCTAGTCAGGTTCATGTGCAGATCACACATATATTGGTATACGTCCAGTTGGTTGCAAGGAAACTGCGAATTAAAGTTCTATCAGGACTAGCAAACCTCTTTTTAGACTGATCAAAAGATCAATATATATAATTCAATGGTTAATCCCTTTCACAGAGTTTGTAACTCTAGCAATGATACACAAAAGTTTGGCAAGGTCGACATGCTCAAAAAAAAAAGTCAATACTTGGTAGTAACTAAGCAAAGGCCCTTAATTCTAGGCACCTGATGTCTTCTCCGATTTGGTTTTGGTCTTTTCAATAACTTCTCAGATTTTCTCAGTCCGAGCCATATAATTTCACAATATCGTGCACAGAATAGTGGGACTCAACTTGACTGATACCTATGCAGTTATTTCTAAGTGTGTGGAAATTAAGTAAAGGTAACTGGTTCCTGAACAAAAGTTAGTAAACATGAGAGAAAGTCTGATACTGAAGTGGAAAAAATCACTGTCTCAAATTATAAACTAGTTTTCAACGTCAATCTATTATTCTATAGATTAGAAAAACTAAGCACCAAGAAAATCTGATTTACCTCTCCAGTACCGATAGCCATATCAGCAAAGCCAAGACGGTCATTGACCTCAATTTGTAATACTTGCTGTCTAGGATTTGAAACAAGGAATTGAAAGTCCTGCAAAGATTATAATACACACACTTATCCAGTTACATTTCAAAACCTTAACTAATAATAATTCACCACCAGATTATGAATGAACCATACCTGATTCCAGATTGGCCGACCAGGAGCCCCAGTGACAGTAGTTTGACTGTTCCTTTTACTACGGATAATTTGATCCCCTAATCTGAGAATTGCATATGGATCTGTTTTACCTGTTACCAATTATCAAGGAAAATGTACAAACTCGTAAAATAATGAAAGAACTCACAAATAGACCCATTTAGTATAGCTACTTTTTCCCAACAAAACTGAATGTACTTGCACAAGGAGATTAATATTCGGTAATAGATTGTCTGTCCATTCTATTTCTCCAAGACTCCAACTATGAAGGAAGCACTGACATGAAAGGAAGTATAGCTTACCAGAAAACATGTGTCGAAGCTTCTGCGCATCTACAAGAGTAACAGATAGTTCCCCGACAAAATCCTTATTGCCTTCCTGCATTTCTTCTGATTTAAGATCATTTGGAACAGGTCCAACAGCTTTTCCTTTCTGAAAATCCAAGACAATTTTCTTTGGTCGGACAAATAATCGAGGCAAATCCTTTGTCAGTAGTTTGGTCAAGAACCTGTAATAGACGATGCTGGGTAAAATTATAGGAAGGGAAAGGAAACTACTATTTCAAAACAACGAGGAACAGAAACACTCAACAGTAAATAAAATGACATAATGGTATCTACTCAGGAAATTGCACCCATGCATCTTAAACGATATGCATAAATTGCAGTGAGTTACAGACATTAAATCATCTAAATTCTAAGCAAGCAAAGTGGCATTTCTGTAGTATCAAACATTGACAAGAACAATTTTTCCAACAAAAAAATCGAGAAGTAACAGATACAACATAACTTACATTGATAGGACGGGGATTCCTGAATTCATCATCCAAACCATTCATAACACACACAAAAATGAAAAAAATGTGTGAGTTGCGGCAAGAGCAAAAGCTATAGTCTCTTCATTAATCAGCAATCGTCAATAACTAAACCAATCCCCAGTCTAGCCAACAGTTTATAAGAAATTCCTATAAAAGATTGTCAGTTTATGAAAGAAGCAGCACAAACAATATCATGTAGTTGCATACCCATTAGATTAAACAATCTGAATGCTGCAAGTTGAAATGTGACTTTTGGAAGTGATACAAACGAACATGATACAGCTCCCACCCAAGGCTGTGTTGGTATCAATCTTAGTTTGACCCAAAGCTCACCATCAATGTCAAAATCCCGGACACCAACTGGAACAACTATAGGGATGACACCGAATTTCAACGAGAGCAGTAACAACATGCGGGCACCACCAGCATACCGAAGGCCAATTTGATACCTATAACAGGAAAAAAGTAACAGGATAAGAAACCACCTTGAACTGAGCCCGCTGATAAACAGCTTGAAGTACCCTATATCCCGAAATATGTAACATCGGGAAGGTGACTAATTGAGATTGTTCATGAAGTTCTACTGATAGGAAAGTTTAAATATATATCATGAGAAGCTTCAGTACCAAACAAGAATACACGTACTGCAAGTCATTGGCACGGCGAGATGTCCTCCTCTCAACATTTCTGACAGACAAAGGCTCATCCCCTAACGAAAACTGCTTAATTTGAACTCGCTGCACATAAGCAGGCTTCTTCAAGTCATCAATCACAGGCTGCAACAAACCAACAAGCCAATCCTCAATTCCATTTCTATACACTTTCCAGAGCTTCCCCAAAACCATATTCACCCACTCCACGGACTCTTTCCTTTGCAAATCCTTGTCTAGGAACAAAGAGAAACTGGTGGGAACCTGTGGCCATGGTCCTGCTCCTCGTTGGCTTCCGTCTCCACCCGTTTCTCTCTGCTTCTTTCTCCACGTCCATAGTTTATCAAACGCGACACCAACGAAGAAGAAGAAGACGAATAGACCAATCACACCACGGTTAATTGGTGGAGACGGGATTGGATGGATTACACCTAACTGGGTCCTAAGCTTATTCACTATCGGATCTTCCCTAAAACTACTAAAATTGGTTTGGTCATCCTGAGTCAGAGACTCTTTCGAATTTTCTTCTTCATTGGAAAACGTAGAAAAATAAAATCTATTCGCAGCCCTTGTACTAGAAGCATCCGTCAGTCTTAGGTTCTTCGAATCCCGGCGAAGTCTGCAGGAAATAAACTGAAAGTTCGAAACTTTGAAGTTCCGACGCAAAACCCAACTCCTTGGAAACACAAAAGCGCCGAGCTCATGAGAGCAAGGACAGAGCAGAGGCCGAGTCACATAAACAGGTAATCGGAAATGCAAGCTCGATGAAGAAGATTGTGGAATCATTTATGAATCGTACCCGACGAAGAAGGAGAAAAATAACGCATAACTGTAGAGTAAAAAACCGTCTTCTCCAACGACACGTAGCATTATATGTGGAAGAAGCTAAACAAATTTGAGAAAGTGCACAAGAAAAAGTTCATCATCTTTTCTTCTTCCTTCTTCTTCGACACGTGGGAGCGGTTCAGTAAACCGATTGATTCAGAGTTAGTTCGGTTAAATTGGATGGGAATTTTGGTTTAATTCGATTTGAAATTCAAATTGAAAAGTATTAACCTCTCTGGTTTAATGTTTGAGCTCAACAGCTTCCTTGATCTTCCATTACAATTTCTTCATCTCAAGCACATACATTGCTTACTCCTCACTTCTCCAATCTTCTACACCCGCCGCGATCTCTTTTTCTCTCATCTTCTCCGTCGCTGCTGCACAGCCACAACTCAACTCCGTTACGCTCGTCGTTTATTATCTCAAATCCGAACTCCCAGCATTCAACTATGGGATTCGCTCGTTGGTCACTTCTCCGGTGGGATTACTCTCAACCCCCGTTTATCTTTTCTTGTTTATCTCAATATGCGGCGCAACGGTCTCGTCCCTAGCCGCCACACGTTTCCTCCGCTTCTCAGGGTTGTTTTCAAATTGAGAGACTCGAATCCGTTTCAGTTTCATGCTCATATAGTGAAATTCGGATTGGAATCGGATCCATACGTGAGGAATTCGTTGATTTCGGGTTATTCAAGTTCTGGGTTATTCGATTTTGCAAGTCGTGTTTTTGATGGAACTGAAGATAAGGACGTGGTTTCTTGGACTGCGATGATTGATGGGTTTGTGAGAAACGGGTTTGCGTCAGAAGCAATGGCCTACTTCGTGGAGATGAAGAATACTGGAACCGCAGCTAATGAAATGACTGTTGTGAGCGTCTTGAGCGCTACAGCCAAGGCTGCAGATGTTCGATTTGGGAAAAGCGTTCATGGGTTTTACTTAGAAACAGGAAGAGTGAAATGTGATGTGTTCATAGGGAGTTCTCTGGTGGATTTTTATGGGAAATGTGGTTGCTATGATGATGCCCAGAAAGTGTTCGACGAAATGCCAAGTAGAAACGTGGTTACTTGGACGGCGTTGATTGCTGGATATGTGCAAGGTCGTTGCTTTGATAAAGGGCTGTCAGTTTTCGAGGAGATGATAGAGAGTGATGTTGTGCCTAATGAAAAGACTCTAAGCATTGTTCTTTCAGCGTGTGCTCATGTAGGGGCCCTTCACCTAGGAAGAAGGGTGCATTGTTATGTGATTAAGAATTCGATTGAGATAAACACTACAATGGGAACAACACTGATTGATCTTTATGCCAAGTGCGGGTGTTTAGAGGAAGCTATATTGGTTTTCGAGAGACTTCCTGAGAAAAATGTGTATACTTGGACTGCCATGATTAATGGACTTGCAGCACATGGACATGCAAGAGGCGCAGTTGATCTCTTTCAGACCATGTTAAGGAGTCATACTTCACCAAATGAAGTTACATTTATTGCTGTATTAAGCGCCTGTGCTCATGGAGGCCTTGTGGAAGAGGGTCAAAGGCTTTTCCTGAGCATGAAGGAACGATTCAATTTGGAGCCAAGTGCTGATCACTATGCGTGTATGGTTGATTTATTTGGAAGAAATGGTTTGCTAGAAGAGGCAAAGGCTTTGATAGAGAAAATGCCAATGGAGCCAACAAATGCAGTATGGGGAGCTCTGTTTGGGTCTTGTTTAATACACAAAGACTACGAGTTAGGTAAATACGCAGCCTCCCGTGTGATTAAGCTGCAAACTAGTCACAGCGGGAGATACACGCTCTTGGCTAATTTGTACTCGGAATCCCAAAACTGGGATGAAGTTGCTCGGGTTAGAAAGCAAATGAAAGATCAACAGATGGTGAAATCGCCTGGATGTAGTTGGATTGAAGTGAAATTAGTTTATCAGATGTTTTGGAAGATGAGTTTATCAGATGTTTTGGAAGATTTGACTCCTCAATCTTGACTTTGGGACCTTTACCATTTTCCTCATAAGCCTTCTCTGAAACTATCCATGACCCTCCAGTTATATCCTTCTTTAGTCTTCAACCTGTCGGCTAATTTCTCTGATATCTCAAGATGCAATAGTACAGGCTTCTTCTTCTCTTCTGAATATCTACAAGAGAAACTCTTGTTTACAACTTTAACAGCTGAAGTTGTGTGCTCTTGATTCTCACACCTCGACTTGAGTGCTTCAATGGCGATTTCTGGAGGGATCTTAGGGTTTCTGGCTAGCTGTCTGCACGTCTCCATTGTTAATTTCTTGTAATTGAGACATCGGCATATCTTTGCTCGATCTCGGGATGTCAGATTCGGATGAGACTGTACAACAACAAAACAAAAATCATTACAGACTCCCAATTTAAAAGACTCAATTATAAACTGACAATATCACTGATTCTAAATTTTTTGAAAATTTGAACTATATTTTAGTTGCAGTAAAACATGTGAATAGAAAAATATGTATATAAAGCTGTACATGAAAAGTTATTAGTATTTTGTTTTTTTTTACTATGTATTTTACAAGTTTAACTGATAGTACCATACCAGAAATATTCCCTTTATAGATATTTGTACAAGTAGACTACCAGAAAAACAAGAAGAAGCATACAGTCAAGAACTGTGGCCTTGTGTGTAAATCTGACATGAACCCCCACGGCAGTAACAAGACAGAGTGAAGAATCTAAGGATGAGTCCAATCTTAATCACATATACATCCATGAGTACATACATATATGTACAAAACACACATTAATCTCAAACTTCAAATCTTTTATTTTGGATATAAACTTAATGACTTAGTTTGGCTTTATATCTCAAACTTCAAATCTTTATGATGAATAAAAGAATAGTTGACTCTATATCAACTCTTCATAATAAAATGTGTAAAGCCAAAATGTATTTAAATGCAAATGGCATTGTAATCTGTCTGGCACTTGTCATCTTCTATATGTCCAATACAAATTAAAAGATAATTATTCTCTTTTTTTTTTTGTCTCACTTTTGCAGAAAAAATAACAATTTTTTTTTTTGGCTCAATCAGTTGTAGTTGGTGAAGAAATTTAAGAAAACAAAAACATACTACAAATATTGATTTAATGAGGAAAAAAAAAACTGACCTGTAAATAGATGTCAATGGCTCTGTAAACACCATCAAAGCAATCTCTAGCTGAATCTGGCAAACTCTCTGCAACACCAAGAAACTTGGAGACTTTCAAATTCTGATCTGGAGATATCTCTCTCAGATACTTATCAATCAGTTTCCCAATATCTTTCATATTCCTCTCTCTTGATTCTTCTTCTCTGTCTTTCACAAACACTTTTAGTAATCTTATCACAAGATCCACATTATAAAAACCACCCTCTCTTCTTCCTTCTGCAGATATCAGAAGATCATCAAGTGTTGCTTGTTCCAACATTTCCCCAATTAGGGTTTCTAAACCGGTTCTTGACTCCCTACTTATGCTAAAACTTGATAAAACTCGAAGAACCCACAAGAGTTTCCTGCAGGAAAACGCGTTTTCCCCTGCAGAAATCACTCCTTTAACCGCTGTATCGGCTAAATCTGAGTACTCGAGTTTGTTCCTCGTAAGCTCTGTGCTAGTTCTTGATTTGGTTTGGAGTTTTGTCTTGAGATAATGGAGGAGAAATCTGGTTAGGATTGAGCTTTTTATGTTGGTTTTATAAGCTCCAATGATCTGAGTAAGCTTCAAGATGATCTGTGGGGAGAGATTTGACATATCGTCGAACCACCACTCGTTACTTCTTCCGCAAGAAACAGAACGCAAGATATACCTACTGTCTGATTCAGGGGTGTTCTTCGCCATCTCAGGAGAAAGAGAAGAGGCCAAGGACGAAGAGAGTGAAGAAGAAGAAAATGTCTCTGAGTTCCGAGAGATTTTGGTCAAAGCTGCGAAGATAAGCTTATCAACGAGACCGTAGGAATCTGCTTGGAGGAACACTTGCTCGCAGTTCTTGAGACACATGACGATGTCGTTCCAAGACCCATAGAACACTTCTTCTAGAAACTTCTCGGTCTGGAGGAAGAGATTAGAGAGAGAGAACTTCTCTGTCATGCCTAGATAAACAGAGCAGCAGTACAAAGTCGGGACATTTGAGACATCAACTGAGATATCTCCGTTGTTGTAACAGAACCTTGAAATCAACTCAAACCCATCTGGTCCACCGGGAAAATCATCAATCTCGATAGTGATGATCTCTGGAGATTTATTTTTCTTGTTTCTCTTCTTTTTGCTTAGTTTTATTATCTTCCTCAAGCTTCCAGAGTACTCCGTGATTACATCCTAAATATAAGAAAAACAGAGCACAGAGAGAATTAAGAACAGAGCAGCAACAAGACTGTGAATTTTGAACTGGGTTTTAGCTTTTGGGATTGGTTCTTTACCTGGTTGAGGAAGAAAGTGTATTGGCCATCGAGAATGATCTTAAGATCGTGGAGAAGAGACATTGGATTGAAAGCCTAATGAGTCTTGTGACTTGTGTGAGGAGAGCTTTTATTTTATTTTTCTGTTCTTACTCTGTTTTTTTTTTTTTTGGTTGGGAGTATATAGAGCAATAATTATAGTGGGCACATGTAAATGAGTGGGGGATATATATATAGTGTTTCATTTGTCTTCATTATTACACCTGTGAATAGAAGAAATGCACACCAAATAAATTAATTAAATCATAAATTCAAAGAGGAATTAGAGGGAAGTATAAGACAAAGTTTATGTTGGACTATATATAGTAGTAATGTTAAAAACAAAACAAACTATAGAAAACCACATAAAATTTTCAAATAATCTCAAATTCCCAAAAAAAAATTGATCTTTTCCGTTTGTCATGTTTTGTTGGTTTTCAAAAGAATGCCAATGAAAGTTTGATTCCTATACATAGAGAAGGATTGACTTTCAAAAAACAATTGATAATTTTATCTTTTCTTATCCAAGTGCACATTTTTTCCATTATACCAACCTTCTCTCTCTTTTTTTTCATATCTATAGAAAGTATTTTTTGTATTTTTTGTCATCATATCTATAGAAAGTATCTGGAAGTGTTCTATGAGGTTCTGTTTTAGGCCTTTACTTGCCAGATTATGAAGCCTTCGTTTCGAGAGATTTTCTCTCCTGTGATAGGAGGAAGCAGTTGTTATCGATGGGTTGGCCGTGGGCAGCATTGATTGTTCTCATTCTCAGTGACTTCAATGGAAAAGAGGGTGTTGATGGCTTAGATCTTGTGATTATCTTCGGTTGGTTATTTGTTTGCCTTATTCTTAGTTGTTGGTGTTGATTTCTTTTGTTGTTGGCTTTCAATTTTCTGTTTTGTATTTTCAGTTGTTTTTCTCAATTAGTTTTAGTTTTCGGGGACTTTCCTTCGTTCGTCGGCTTAGTTTCCCTTGTTTGGGTTTTAGACTCCGGCCTCCGGAGATATCTTTGTCTTCCGCCGGCTTAGTTTGTATTTCATGTTGTATGTTTTCAAGTATTTTCAATATCATCAGATGACAAAAAAAATCTATAGAAAGTATAGTTTTTTACTTTTCAGTGTCAAGTAGTTTGTTTGTGTATTCAGTTCATAATTTTACATGAGCTTTCCAAAATCAAGCATGAATAGAATCATAAGTTCTGGTGGTAACATTTAAAACTCAAACGTCTGAAAAAGTATCAACAGTCTATTGTACTTTCATCACTTTTATCTTTTAACTTGTTTTATGTTTTTCACTAACATGAGAATTCTGGGAAACACCATTGTAGTGCATGTGAATAATTGTGGGGTCTTAGACGAAAAAGATATTTCTGTTTTAAGTGAGAGTCCATTACAATCTTTTTTCATCGTATTTCCATATCCGACCATGTTCATGACTATGATATTTTCTTCTTTTATCAAAACTTTTATTTTGTTTTAAAGATTTTATTTAGTAGATAGATAGATATATCATCAATTCATCATCATCATCATCATCCCCGCACAATACAAAAGCCCAACTTATTTCTTATCCTGCTTTATTTATTATCCACAAGAATAAAATGTTCCATCTTCTCTCTTTCTATTCCATTAAAACCACATACATATCGATATGATTGGATTGGGGATAAACAAACGAAAAAAGACATCTATATAAACCAAAGGGGCAACTACAAAATAACACAGCAGAAAGAAAAGAAAAAAAAACTAATTAATATAAATTTGCAATTCACGTCGCTTACCAAATTACACGTTAATTTAATACTCCATGCTTTGACATAATTATCAATTTTTCAAAACGATAATCATGGGATATTCTTCACAACATAATCAGAGCAATATAAGTGACTCAATAAAAACAATAGCCATTGAAGTACCAAAAATATTTTTAAATTCACACAATAAGTAAAAAAGAAAAAAAGAAGAAGAAGTCCAAGACGTTGTAATGAAACCGTTGAAGAAGTTTAAGTCGACAAAGCAGATAAGAAACGCTATCCTAAACACTTATGACAAGCCTCTCAGTTACGGTACCTACTTCCACGTTCACGACCATAGTCTCGGTCCCGATCATGGTCATAGTCATAGTCACGCTCCTTGCCTCTTTCCCTATCTCGACTTCTGCTTCTGCGTCTATCCTTATCATAGAGATGATCTCTACCTCGGTCTCTTTGCCTGTCTCTGCTTCTCTCTCTTCCATCTTTATCAATACCTGCCACCAGCATCATACAAATTTTACATTTGATCAGGACCTTTTTCGGGGGTGGGGAAGCAGCAATAAACATCTATTCATCGTTGTTATCTTCCTCTTTATATCTACAGTTAAAAGAAGAAAACTCTAACAAGGAACAACATTTGTTTATTAGAGATCCCTTCAAGGCTTGGGCTATATATAGGCATGTCAGCTGAAGCGTAAATGTGAAAGTTTCCAACAAATCCTTTCCTCCATATATGTTAAGTTTCACTAAAAGTGTCTAGATGACAAGCGGAATTCTTTGAGGACTGTTCACTAACGGCTAGTACGTATGTGTCAAGCCAAATAAATTTCTATCATAATGGAAAGGTTCTACTCAGTATATAAGAAAATACCCTGCTGACATGAGTTAAATTTTTACAGAAATTACCTAGTTCCTCGACTTCCCACCCAGCACGACCAGCAGCAACAGCAGGCCTGTTGTCAGCTTGGTGCGTTTTAACACGGTACTTCTTCTTCAGATTCCCAAACTCATCATACATTTCACCATCATCCTGAAAATATATATGATGTATATGTTAAAAGCGCTTACCAAAAAACTGAGAACTCATATAAAACAAAGAAATTTTTGAGGAAATAAAATTTACTTCTTCAGCCTCACGCCTGCGTCTCTTTGTTTCCTCTAATTCTTGTTCATCCAATTCCTTGTAACCACCACCACGACCTCCCCTATTTAGAGAAAACAAATGAATAAGCACTGGTCCTTTAGGAGAACAAGTTTCTTAATGCAACTCTAATTCGGTCAGCGTTAAACATTACAAGCGGGATATCAATATTTAAAAAAAAGGAAAAGCTTTTGTTCAAATTGCAGAAGAGAGTATTGTCTTTTTTTTTTTCATGTATCTATCAGGCCATATCTAAATCAGAATATAAGAAAATACCCTGCCGACAACAAACTACAAACCTCAAATAAAAAATCTATGATCTCTCCTACATTCACTGTAAATTCATTTATAACCCAAACCATCAGCTCAAATATTGCAAATAGCAATACAAAGGCAATCGCATCATTGGCATTGAGTCATACCTCACACCACCTTCATTCTGACCAGGTTTGTTGGTGTTGCAGATATTACATTTTAAACGTTTAGCCCAGTTGACATTGCCACACCTGAAAATTAAAGAATTAGAACAAATAGAAAAGGTTGCTTTTGGATTTCTCCTGGATTAAAAACCAACAGAATTGGAAACCACAGCAAATTTAACACAAAAATGCATTAATTGAAAGAACCCATATGCATTCACACAGAGCAGCCTCTTGGTTAGGGTAGTAGAAAACACATAGCATAACTTGCATTTAATTTAAAACATGTAATCCTACTTAGTATCAGACACAGAAAAAATGAACATTTCACAAAGATGACTTCCACAAAAGAATTAAAAATAGAGGACACCAAATCAAAACTAAAACCCACCCACATTTCACATTCCATTATTCAGTTTACAGCCATCTGAAGGAAAATTACAAAATTTAAAAACAACATTCAAAAAAAGGAGGAAGAAGCAGCCTCCACAAATGATTTGAGTCAGTTTTAGAGACACAGCAGAGCGAGCCATCACTACTTTCTAAGTTTTTTTTTTTTTTCTGTCAACCTACTTTCTAAGTTAAGAGTCAACTGACATCATCAAAACACTGAGATACAAGCTATATTCCTTCCCATATAAATAACAAATTAGTTTAACATTTAGCAAGGCCACATACTATTTAAATGTTCTCTTGGCTAATGATGAAATTTAAATGTTCTATAATCATGCATTAAACAGTCATTCTTTTGAGAAACTGACCAACCATTTCCAAGCTAATCCGAATGCTTACATTGGACAAGCCCAATCATTTGGACCAAAAAGACCAGTAGGAGCACCACTGGGCTGCTTTCCCGGTGGCCCACCATCAGTGCCTCCACCTCGACCCCTTCCACGACCACCTGCCCCCATGCTGCCACCAGATGCACCAGCTGGTCGGGCAGTTCCACAGCGGTTACAAACCCCACGGAATGCAAAATTCACATTTGTACAACTGCCAATAGAAGGGTATGAGAGCACTACTGCTAAAAAGCAATAGAATACAAAACTGCCAATACAACGGAAACAAGAGCTAGATGAAGCTCCTCACCGATATCACATCACAGACCTTGTATTTGGGCACATCCAGTCACCATCTTGCTGCCATGGCTTGGCCGAAGAATCAGCCTGGCCTCTCCCCCTTCCAGCACCTTCATTAGTTTCCTCCTTAGCACCTCCATCAAATCCAAGAAACTCAACTGAATCACCGGCATTTTTGTTCTTCGACTCGGCCATAAGAACTCCAATGGTGCTTCCATGGAAATCTTTGTTATTGAACCATTCAACAGCAGCCAGAGCAGCATGCGGGTCCTCATAGGTAACAGTAGCATCCCCCTTGGGCTCATCAGTCTCTTTGTCTCTGTACAGCCATACCTTGGGAGTACCAGTTCGTTTGTCTCTCTAAAAACAATGGACAAAAAAAATGTAAGAAACTCGAAATATTGTGAACCATAAACAAGATTGCAATGACGTAAAAATAAAAGAAAACTATTAGTACCTGGCCAATACCATACCTTAAGCAACCCAATGGTCCCAAAATATTCAGCCAACATATTCTCGTCAGTGCCTAAAGGGAGATTGGAAACGTAGACTGATCCATTAGTAGGAGCTCCTTTCGTTGAATATCCAGCCATCGTTACGCAATTTCATCAAAAAACAGAGCCGGCACGAATCTGTAAATGACATTATGACAATACCCACGACTTCACACTTCAATACTAAATGTAAATTCACTTGTAATGTTCATCGTACGAATACATAAAGGCAAGGATAGATTCCGACGAAATACTCAATGAAATCGAGACATTGAAACCTCAAAATTTAGAGCTCAAAATCGAGGAGGACAAAAAGAAGATTCGATCCAGAATGAGAGATAAAAAAGAAAAAGGAAAGAGCGAGATAGAGAGAGGAATCTGACCGGCGATGAGGATTGAGCGGCGAGGAGAGGTCGTCGGATTAGGGTTTGGAAGTGCGTCTCTGCTTCGAGTAAGAGAGAGAGAGAGAGAGAGAGAGAAGAGATCGCGAATAGAGAGATTTCCAGGTTTCCCACAAGGGTAACCTCAATTGTTTGGTGGTTATTTGCAATTTCAATATAGTATTTTCATTTTATTTATTTTCCTTTATATTCCAACTTTTTTTTTTGACAACCATTTTATAACAATTATATATTGAATTTTTAATCTCTTATTCCATTATGGAAAATATATTCATATTTTCTTCCAAAAATACACATAAAAAATCATTTTTTTTAGAAATCAGTATATATTGAAAGACAAGTTATAACCGCGTTGGGCGATTCTTCCAAAAAAAATTTCCGGCTGGCATCGGCTTCTTTGGTGTTGGTCGGCCCCTTTTTTTCCCGTTTTGTTTGGTTTTTCAACTTTCTGTTTTGTTTTTTTTTGTTTATAGATCAATAACAATGGTAAAGTGATTGTCATGCATGATTATCCCATTCATGTTATTGATTCAATATCTCATCCTCTTTCTTTAGAGTCAAGAGTTTGCATTTTCCGATCAATATCCGGCAATGGTGTTGGAATAATATTGGTGCCTTTTCGCTAAGGATAAATCCAGGCATCTTCCGTTGTTACGATTTTGATTCCTTAGGTCTCCATCACCACTGTGACCATGATCATGACTTTAGTTTCTTTAAATTGATTAAGGACATTCAAATTCAGATATGGGATCCAAGAGATTCAAATTACAAAGTTGAAGATGGTGGAGTACAACTACAGACTAGTCATATATATGGAAGTCGTCTTATGCTCGTGTCAGAGATTGGCATCTCTATTTTTCCTTGCTCAAAGAGATTAAAAATTCTCTACATCAGAGCTATTATTACCTTTGAGTTATAGGGAGCCGTTGTTGAAGTTCAAAACTAAAGATACCAATCTTGGATTTGATGATGTGATATCACTAACTCAATCTGACTAAATTGTTGCTCCCATCAAATTATATTTGTTTGTGTGATGGAATTATGGCTGCAGCGATTTGGCTTATGTTGGATTGAGATGTCAAGTTTTCATGTGGTTTTGGTCAAATATTGGCGACAAAATTTTACTGGTATTGAGCATATTTATTGGATGAGAAATACATTGGCGATGATTATATGGGAGACTATTAAGACAAGAGGTGCGGGTACTTGACATATACGATAAAACTATATGTGGTTATGTCACATATCTTATGTGGAAGAGAGTTGCAGAGACGTCGAAATATTTTAGAAAGATCTAGTACGAAAGTTTTTGTGCCACTGTGTCTTCATTCCAGAATTACATTTGGGCACATCGTGTTTAGTGTTACGTTTTGTGAAAAGAAGTTTCAGCCACATATTGCTGCTTACAACCCATAACAAAGAGAAATCAAATATGAAGTTGGATAATAACTGATTTTTTTATTGGTTAGCGAGTAAAACTACTCCACAGAAAACATCGTCAAATTCCCTTATGCTATATTTTTCTTAATGTATGATATTTACATCGTATATGTAATAATTGTGTTACGATAATTCTGTATATGTTTTTGTAAACAACTCTACGATTTTAATTGTTTTGTTACTTTAAATACAATTCTGAATTATCTGCAGTAAAGAGAGAAACAGTGTCTTGTACCAGTACTAGGTTTATCTTCAAAACCAGGGGGGCTAGATCCCAAACTCTTTAAGTTTAGGAATTAGCGAAATTATCTCATTCTCACTATTTTCGAATATATATGTATAGTAAATATTCATTATATTCCTCATATTTTCGTTACATAACCTAAAGATAAAAAATGGTTTTAATTAATGACGATTAAATCGAGCCACCAGAATGTTGATTAAAGTTCTTCTTCTTATATCTCTCTACTCTCTAATTGGTTAACATAATTTGTTACTTATCTTACACGCCCCGAAAGATGATGCTGGAATTGTTAAAACGAACATACACATTCAAATCTTTTTGGTCGGACTAATCCTAATATATAGTAATATCCAAGAATGCATGTTGCTGTTTCTTTTTCTTTTTTAAAACTTTGTTTTTTTTTTCTCAATTTGCAGCTATGTATTAAATCAAGTATTTTGTTATATTCCTTGTTAGTAAAAGTTGAAAAAACTGAGGATATCTAAATTCAAAAGAGTACTCCATGCGTACAGTTTGTTCATGATTACGCATTTCTCTTATACGTAAATAACTACTTTGATTTATTTTTCTTCGATATTTATATATCTAATTAATCTCTGTAACGATATATCTCAAATAAACGATCTACAATGACGTGTACCATGTATCCATTAACAAATCCCAAATCTGATTCAAAGTAGATTATTATCTCTAAATAGACTAGAGATACACGTACTAACCAAATCGAGTTATCCCTTTAGTAATATTTATTACAAGTTCCTATTTTGGTGTTAGAGACTGTTTTTTTCTCCAACACATATCTATTACACAAGTCTTATGTAATAAAAAAAAAAAAAAAAATCAAAAGAGATAAGAGCGGAAGCTGTCCGTAAAAAAAAACAGAAGAAACTGTCAAAAAGAAGACAATAAGATCTCCACTAAAACTGGGTTTAAAGAACATGGAAAAAACCACTTCCCCGATTCATAAGCCAACATCATTCTCTAACACAATCCATTCCTATTAATAGACCACCAAAACACTTGTATTTAAGAAGCTCACAAGCTCTTAAGTTTTGGAACACAAGCTCACAAGTTTTTGTTTTAAAATAACAAAGCAAAAAGTCGATAACAATCAATAAGTGAAGAATAAACTAATAATGGCTGGAGGAGCCTTTGTATCAGATGGTGGTGGTGGGGGATCAAGCTATGAAGGCGGAGTCACCGTCTTTGTCATCATGACATGTATTGTGGCCGCTATGGGAGGTCTCCTCTTCGGTTACGACCTCGGAATCTCAGGTCAGTACATTCCCTTCTTCGGGTGTCCATTTACTCTAGTTTCTGGCAATGTAATGTGACTTGTTTTGTTGTATAGGGGGAGTGACATCAATGGAGGAGTTTCTGAAAAAGTTTTTCCCGGAGGTGGATAGGCAAATGCACGAAGCGAAGCGCGAGACTGCTTACTGTAAATTCGATAACCAAATGCTCCAGTTGTTCACTTCCTCGCTCTACCTTGCGGCTCTTGCGTCTTCCTTTGCAGCATCGGCTGTTACAAGGAAGTACGGACGCAAAATCTCCATGTTTGTTGGAGGGGTTGCTTTCCTCATAGGTTCTCTATTTAATGCATTTGCCACCAATGTTGCAATGCTTATCGTTGGTAGATTGTTGCTCGGAGTCGGTGTTGGATTTGCTAATCAGGTCAGTCAACAACATGCGCGGTCTTATTGTGTTTATACAGTATGTGGTTTAGATCTAGACATTCTATTTTTCTCGGCCCGGTTTGGTTCAGTTTTCAATCAATTTCAGTCAGATATGGTTCCAAACTAAATTCATTTCTTCTTCGGCTAAGGTTATCGGTTCAGTTTTTACTTTAATCTAAAACAGTTAAAAATCTAGATAAATAATTTATTTTCATTAATATAAATGAATGGATATTGGTTTATTTGATGAAAATTGGTTGTACAATTCCGGTTTTGAATAATTCGTTTGTTATAAAAATACCGTTACTCTGCTTAGTTTGAAATAAATAACTTTATATTTTCCACAGTCTACTCCGGTTTATCTCTCGGAGATGGCTCCCGCAAAGATCCGAGGAGCACTTAACATCGGGTTTCAAATGGCTATAACCATTGGGATTTTGCTTGCAAACCTAATCAACTATGGAACATCTAAAATGGCTCGGAACGGATGGAGAGTGTCCTTGGGTTTAGCCGCTGTTCCGGCTGTCGTTATGGTTATCGGATCGTTTATTTTGCCCGATACACCAAACTCGATGCTCGAGAGAGGCAAGTACGAACAAGCGAGAGAGATGTTGCAGAAGATTCGTGGAGCTGATAACGTAGATGAGGAGTTTCAAGATCTTTGTGATGCTTGTGAGGCTGCGAAGAAAGTAGAGAATCCATGGATGAACATCTTCCAACAGGCCAAATACAGACCCGCACTTGTTTTCTGTTCTGCGATTCCTTTCTTCCAACAGTTTACTGGTATCAATGTGATCATGTTCTACGCCCCCGTTCTCTTTAAAACTCTAGGTTTCGGGGATGATGCCTCCCTCATTTCAGCGGTTATTACGGGTGCGGTCAATGTTGTATCTACCCTTGTCTCCATCTATGCGGTTGACAGATACGGAAGAAGGATTCTCTTCCTTGAAGGAGGCATCCAGATGATCATTTCCCAGGTAAAAATGCTAGTTCGAGTTTGCGCATACATGTGGAAAAATAAAAACAACATTTTCAATTCATACTGTATATAAATGATGATTTCTTACCGTACATATATTGTTTGATTGGTCATTTTGCAGATTGTTGTTGGTACCTTGATTGGTATGAAGTTTGGAACCACGGGAGCAGGGACCTTAACACCTGCAACAGCGGATTGGATCCTAGCTTTCATATGTTTATATGTTGCAGGATTTGCATGGTCATGGGGTCCATTGGGATGGTTAGTACCAAGTGAGATCTGTCCGTTGGAAATCAGACCAGCGGGACAAGCCATCAACGTCTCTGTCAACATGTTCTTCACTTTCCTCATTGGACAATTCTTCCTCACGATGCTTTGCCACATGAAGTTTGGCCTCTTCTTCTTCTTTGGAGGAATGGTTGTAATCATGACCATCTTCATCTTCTTCTTGTTGCCGGAGACAAAAGGGGTTCCTATAGAAGAAATGGGAAGAGTATGGAAGCAACATCCGTTCTGGAAACGTTACGTCCCAGATGATGCTGTTACTGGAGCTGGTGAAGAAAGCTATGTCAAGGAGGTTTGAGAGCCAGAAAAGCGAAGGTTTCAAAAAGTTGAGGCATTGGTTGTGGTTAGCCAGTGGTGTTTGGTTGTTTTTTCAATGGAATAAACCAACAAAACGTGAGAATTTGTGGGCGGGTGTCGAAGAAGAAGAATGAAAAGTTGTTGAAAAAAGTCTTTAATGCTGAATTCTTTTACCTGATTCATTCCAATAAAGCCAAGCAAAATTTGTTTCTTTGCATATGCATTTGTTTTTCTTTTCTTTTCTTTTTACCACCAAATGAAATTAAGAGCAAAAATTGCAACAGCCAAATGCTAGTCACTGAGAACAAGAGTACGATGATCAGTCATGCTTCGATCTACGAAAACCTAACTAACTAGACAATGGCCAAGTATAAGCCAAGAAGCGTAGATATATATTCCCCTATGATGTTTGTTAGATTCTGATAACAGCTCAAGTCTTTTCTATTTGTAAAACTTGTTGCGAGATATACACATCAAACGAGAGACGGTTGATGAAGATCACAACTGAAGAGATTTGTTTACAATTAGAAAAAAACAGTGTTGAGACAGAGGAATACCGGTGCGAATAGGGATTTTCACGCAACAGATATTGAGTTCAAGAGACTATCAATGTACTCCTTAAGCTTGGCCTTCGTTATAGCACCTTCTCTTCTGCTACCTGGAACCTCCTTGCCGTCCTTGAAGAGGATGAAATGAGGTAAACCATAAACCTTGAAATCTGCTATCAACTTGGGATTAGCGTCGTGATCAATCTTTACAATTGTCAATTTTTCACCATATTCCTGAGACAAAAAGAATCATTTCAGAAAACATGAAAACTAAAGAAATCTCAAACTCTATCGTTGTAAGGAAAAGCTCAGAATCGAAATGTATAATCAGTAGTTTACTGTCATTTCTTCAAATCTATTCTCTAAGTACTCGCAAAGGAAGCTCTACTCTAAACACTAGCTGACTTTTTTAGTAGTTTTCGAGCTAAGAGTATATGATTTACAATAGTTGGCTGACTGGCTCATACAAAAAAAATCTCAAATCCCAAGTTTGTATATCATCAAATTTTGTGTGAAATCTCTTTTCTCAAATCAACAGATCTCATTCAACTTCAAATTCTCGCGATTCTCCAGTAGAACAGTATGAATTCCATGATCATCAACACAAAAAGCGATTCATCAAACCTGAGATAAGGCTTCCATGGCGGGATAGATCAATTTGCAGGGACCGCACCAAGTAGCGACGAACTCTACCAATACCGGCAGGTCCGATTCAAGAACCGTACTCGAAAACTCACTCTCCCCAATCTCTTTGATTCCGCCGCATCTTATCGCCGAATTTGAGATGTTCCTGGTTCGTCTGCCACCAGACCTGAACGAAAGTAGGTGGCGGTTAGCCGCGACGGAGGTGACCTGAACTGAGCTGAGAGGCTTGACGGAGACGGAAGAAGCCGGAGAAAGTGAACGAACCGGAGGAGTGAGATATGATCGGATAAGAACCGTCGAACTGGAGACGATAGAGTCCATGGCTTCTTCGTCCACGTTCTCCTAATCCTCTGTGTTGGTTGACTCAGCAGAACATACTCAGAAGAAAACGTTTGTGTGGCATAGGAAAGTAAAAAAAATCCAGGTGATGATTTTTTTCAAAGTCCACTGCTTCTTTATTCTTTCAATTTGGCCCCATACTTTTAGAAAATCATACAAACAATCTTCGTAAGTGGGCCGGGCCTGAAGCCCAGAATTCAAAAGTCCTCGCCGGAGAAGATTGAGTTGGCGACACAATCACAGATTCGCTGAAACGTCGTCTCTCGTTCTCCTCTCCCTCTCTCGTCTTCAACGTTTTGAGATTTGCAGATTCCGTCATGACCTCCGGCGGAAACTCTATCGGATCCACCGTCCCAGCGGAGACGGAAAAGATGTTCTTCTGCTACCAATGCAATCAGACGATCACCATCTCTATTACTTCCTCCGCTGATCCTTTTTGTCCTCTGTGCAACGAAGGTTTCCTCGAAGAATACGTAGACCCTAACCCTGATCCAATCCCCAATCTGATTCTTCCGATGTCGGATCCAATCTCATCTCGCTTACCTTTCATCCCAGTCATGGACTTCACGAATCCGAGTTTCTTAGGGCAATCGATGGAGCCACAGGCTACTACTCAGCGACAGCCTGATGCTTTCGATCCGGTTAGATTTATTCATAACCATCTCCTGCAACTTCAATCAAGCGGAATCAATGTTCAGTTTTTGTTCGAGAATCAACTCTCGGATGCAGCTAATCCGTTACCAGGAAATCACGGAGATTACTTCTTTGGGCGTGGTCTTGAGGATCTGATTCAACAACTAGCTGAAGATGATCAGAATCGATACGGAACTCCTCCAGCTTCGAAATCAGCCATTGATGCGCTCCCAACTGTGAAAGTGACTAAAGAGATTTTGCAATCGGAAATGAATCAGTGTGCTGTTTGTATGGATGAGTTTGAAGATGGTATTGAAGCTAAGCAGATGCCTTGTAAGCATGTGTACCATCATGATTGCTTGCTTCCATGGCTGCAGCTGCATAACTCGTGTCCGGTTTGTCGACATGAGTTACCCACGGATGATCCTGATTATGAGAACAGGACTCGGGGAGGTCAGACGAGTGGAGACGGGGAGGGATCATCGGGTGAGGCCCAGACGCCGAGGAGGTTTAGTATATCGTTTCCATGGTCATTCAGGAGACCAGATGCAAATTCAGATTCTGGCAGTGGATCTGATATGGATACTAGAGAAGACGATTTGGATTGAGGTTTGTGATTTTCTATCCCGCTTATCTTGGGCCTGATGTTTGTGTGCAAAGTGGTTTACTTCTTGCTGGCTGAGAAGTGAGAATTGGTAGATATGATAACTGATTCGTTGTTAGAAGGACCTCATAAATGAAATTGTGATAAGCATTCTAGGCATCTGTGTTGATGTCTAACATATGGTATCAGCATGAGTTGGTTTGATGGCATTCAAATTTTGTAGCTTGACTGATTGTAGATGAAAGCATGTAGAAGTATAATCTTTTTTACTTGCTCTTGTCTACTACTCTAGGTAACAGTAGCTTTCATAGCTTACTAGTTTTAGTCTATGAGAAATTAGACCTGCCTAGATTGAGATGCATGAATCGTTGAAAGTCATTACCTTTCAGCGATGTTGAAGCCTAGGTATATAAAGGAAATGGTTATTGTAGCAATGGGCTACTAACTTACTATGTTTAGAGTTTGATTTTGCTTGCTTGTTTTATATTGCAAGATTTCTTGTTTACTCTGTATATTAGCATGTGGTTTTTCCATCAGTCTAAAGATGAACATTTCTGGTTTGCCTCTGTTTTGATTGTACTGTTGAAAAACAAGAGCTTTGTAGATTTAGGATTTAGATGACGATATTGGGGAACTCGTAAATGGAAAGTTACCATTATTAACAGTGATTGGAGTGGTACAACTGTTATGGCCTTAGCTAGCTTGACTCAGACTGGTCTAGTATGTTACATACGATGGTGATCAGTTGTTATATTTTTAGATCAATGTGTTGAAGCTAATCCAACGATGGTTTTGTTTGTGTGCAGTCTTTGCTTGGTTTGGAAAATAAAACGTGAAGGAGAGCCAATACAGAAAAAAAAAAGCAAATTCATTTTTGTTTACACTCAAAAACTGATAAGAAGATGACGAAGAAAACTGTATATTGCGTTTAATCAGGTTTCAATGTAAAATCTACTGTACATATCACAAAACGTCTCCTTCTTTTGGGTTCGTTAGGGATTTGATTTATATTTTACGAAACTGAGAATTTTTAAAATTGTAATTTTATCTGTACTGTAATTTGTAATCAAAATGTTTACCGTATAGTTTGTTGCGTAATAAATAACTTTTAAAGAATATTTTTCTTAATATATACTAATAATGCTGGTTGTTGATGTTAAACGTCCAAATGTGCCTACATATTATTACCAAATAATGTAGTGTCACCGATCAAAACATTACTTTGTTTAATTATTCGCTTCAACATATATATATTTCTTACAATATAATAGGACTGTGAACACAACCACAAAAATGTCAAGGTGTTTTCTAGAATCTGCGAAATCGAATATCGTGGGGGTCTACATCAATCTTAATCATATGATCATAATCTTCTTTTAGCAAAGAAAATATAAATTGTTCTTTCGGCATATGAAATGTACTTAACTATCTTTAGCTTAGGTAACCACCCAATTATTATTATTGTTGAGAAGTAAAGTCCCAAATTTTATTATTTTTAGTGACATTCTAACGAATATTCATAACCAAAGACAATTTCAGGTTATGTAATGGGTTGACTACTACACATAAAATATTAAGGATCAATCATAGTATTTGATTGATCCCTTCAATCTTTTATATATGTAAACTAGATCATGTAATTACTCTTGTAAAATACCCTAACAATGTCTGTAGTAGTATATAATCTCATCTCATTACTCAATAAAGATTATCAATTCATTACAACATTTACATGGTATCAAGAGCCAATAATTCTTAACGAAGAAAAAAAAAACATCCCTTCTTTTCTTTGCATCATATTTCTCTTTTTCTTCGCCGCCGCCATGTCTGCTCCTCCTTCTCCCTCAATAACAGAGAGTATCATCACCAACTCTGTTACTCTTCACACGATCAACATGACCAATGTTACGAAACTCACTGCAATCAACTATCTCATGTGGAAGCTTCAAGTTCAGGCCCTAGTCGACGGCTATGGTTTACTCGGCCATCTCGATGGGTCGACTGTTGTTCCTCCTCCGACGACCACCACGGCCAACATCGTCTCGCCAAATCCGGAGTTTGAGATGTGGAAACGTCAAGATCGGCTACTGTATAGTGCTCTTCTTGGCTCTATCTCTCTCTCGGTTCAACCGATTCTTTCTCGTACGACTACAGCGGCGGAGATCTGGACAACTCTGGCGTCGACATATGCAAATCCGAGTAGGGGTCATATTAAGCAGTTGAAGGATCAATTGGGGGTCTGGAAGAAAGGAGATCGCACCATTGATGAGTATATGCAGGGTCTCACGATCAGATTTGATACCCTTGCCAATCTTGGTGCTGCTCTGCCTCATGAAGAACAACTTGATCATGTGCTGGAAGGTTTGCCAGAGGAGTATCGACCTGTAATTGATCAGGTGGAGAGCAGAGACACACCGCCTACACTCACGTATGTTCATGAACGTCTCCTAACCTATGAAGCAAAAATTCTCGCTAAGGCTGCTGCTGTTCCTTCCGGCTACGGCGAATGTAGCTACACACCACAACTCCAACAACAACAACAATCGTCATGTTCAACACCACAACAACAACAACAAGCAGCGGTCCAATACCTACAACAACAATTCTTCTCAGCAAACATGGCAGCCTTCCAACAACAATAACAATCGTGGCTCACGTCTGTATCAAGGTCGTTGCCAGCTCTGTGGTGTTCAAGGTCACTCCGCGAAGAGGTGTCCTCACCTACAGAATCGTCTCTCATTCACTGGTTCCCAGCAACAGAGTCCCTTTACGCCATGGCAACCACGGGCGAATCTCGCTATTGGTGGGGGGGGGTGTAGACCCCTGGGTCATGGACAGTGGTGCAACGCATCATCTCACTTCGGACTTGCAGAATCTCTCCCTGCATCAGCCATACACCGGAGGTGAAGGAGTTCTTATTGGTGATGGCTCTGCCTTACCGATAACACATACTGGTTCAATAACTCTTTCCTCTTTTTCTAAACCGTTAGCATTACGTGATGTGTTGTGTGTTCCTAACATACACAAAAATTTGATCTCTGTATACCGGTTGTGTAACGCTAACCAAGTCTCGGTTGAATTTTTCCCTGCTGCATTTCAGGTGAAGGATCTTCAAACGGGGGACCTGTTGCTCCAAGGCAGGACTAAAAACGAATTGTATGAGTGGCCGGTTAAAGCATCTCACGTTACTGCTCTCTATGCGTCACCGGGTCCACAAGCTTCTTTGTCTTCATGGCATGCTCGATTGGGGCATCCATCTATGTCAGTTTTGAAAACTGTTATTTCCAATTTCTCTTTGCCTGTGTCTTCTTCAACACCGTTGTCTTGCTCGGATTGTTTGCTTAATAAAACGCACAAGTTGCCTTTTGCTTCATCCTCTATCTTCTCAACCAAACCACTTCAATATGTGTTTACGGATGTGTGGACATCGCCCATTCTCTCGGTTGATAATCAGAAATACTATCTCATTTTGGTCGATCACTTTACGAGATATACGTGGTTTTATCCTCTTAAAAACAAGTCCGATGTTCAGATTGTGTTCAAGGCGTTTAAGGCACTCGTGGAGAATCATTTTCGGGAAAAAATTCAAACCTTGTATTCAGACAACGGGGGTGAATATATTGCTCTTCGTGGTTACCTCGCTGCTCATGGAATTGCTCATTTTACTTCTCCACCACATACCCCTGAACATAACGGGATATCCGAGAGGAAACATCGTCATATCGTAGAAATGGGACTCACGCTGTTATCTCAAGCTTCAATGCCTAAACGATATTGGACATATGCCTTCTCCACTGCGGTGTATCTTATTAATCGTCTACCAACTCCTGTCCTTCACAACGTCTCGCCATATCAGAAGTTGTTCAATGTTTCACCCAATTATCAAAAGCTGCGGGTGTTCGGGTGTGCTTGTGTTCCATGGTTACGTCCTTATACATCTCACAAGCTTGATGATCGTTCCAAATGTTGTGTGTTTCTGGGCTATTCAAACACTCAGAGCGCCTTCCTTTGTCTGGATACTCAAACGGGTCGGGTTTATACATCTCGTCATGTCCAATTTCTTGAAGCAAAATTTCCGTTTGCACCACACTCGGTGGTTCCCGATTCCACGACGACGGCTACACTTGGTTCTGCTCCTCTACTCGCGACTCCACTCATACATTCGTCTCCCCCGATCCTTCACCATCCACCCTCCTCTCCGATTTCGTCACACCACAATGCTACCTCCTCTACAATGGCAACGCCGTCGACAACATCAAACACGATTTCCTCGTCTCCATCGATCATGGCCTCGTCGTCATCACAGGTACGTCCCCTTCCCTCGATCTCTCAATCTTCCTCGTCTTCTCCCTCTTCCTCTGAGCCTACTGCTCCCACTGAAAATGGGCCGCAACCCACCCCAGCTCTTACCTCCTCCTCTAAATTTTTCTATTAATCCGAATAGCCCATCACCGGCCCAAACACAACAAAATATCCATCAAGAAAATAATAGCCCAAACTCAAACCAAACACATACCCAAACCTCTTCTCTTTCCATGACCGAAGACTCCTCATCGTCTTCCTCCTCTGCTCCGCTGTTTCCTCACGCTCCGGTGCATCCAAATCCTCCACCACCGCCGGGTAATGCTCATCCCATGGCCACTCGTTCTAAGACTGGGGTGATTCAACCAAATCGTCGTTATGCAAATATGGCCACTCTCACCTCTGCTGAACCACGCACTGCTCTTCAAGCATTAAAGCATGACGGGTGGAGACAAGCTCTAACCGCCGAGATGAATGCTCAATTGAATCAACATACATGGGATATTGTTCCTCCTCCTCCGAATGCGTCGATTGTGGGCTGTCGCTGGGTTTTTACGACCAAGTATAATCCGGATGGCTCTGTTGCTCGCCTCAAAGCTCGGTTAGTTGCCAAGGGCTACAATCAAAAGCCGGGTTTAGACTATACCGAAACCTTCAGTCCAGTTATCAAGACCACCACGATTCGCACTATTCTTGGAGTAGATGTTGATTGTGATTGGCCGATTCGTCAGTTAGACGTTAACAATGCGTTTCTCCAAGGCACTTTAACTGAAGAGGTATATATGGTTCAACCCCCTGGTTTCATTGATAAAGATCGTCCTGATCATGTCTGCAGATTGCGCAAAGCGATTTATGGTTTAAAACAGGCACCGCGTGCATGGTACACCGAACTCCGGACGTATCTTCTTGCAGTGGGTTTCATAAACTCAATGTCCGACGCATCTCTTTTCATTCTCCGTCAAGGTCGCTCAATACTATATATGTTAATCTATGTAGATGACATTATAGTCACAGGGAATGATCGTGTTTTACTTGCTCGTACTCTTGATGGCTTAGCATCTCGGTTCTCCGTTAAGGATCATGAAGAGCTGTCGTATTTTTTGGGTGTTGAGGCCATAAGGACGAAGCACGGCCTTCATTTGAATCAAAGGAAGTATATTCTGGATCTTTTAGCAAAGACGAACATGCTCATGGCCAAACCAGTCGCTACTCCAATGGCCACAAGTCCAAAGCTTCAACGACATGTTGGTACACGGTTGTCTGATCCAAATGAATACCGCAGTGTTGTGGGGAGTTTACAATACTTGGCATTCACACGTCCTGATATCGCTTTTGCGGTTAATCGTCTTTCCCAGTACATGCATTCTCCTACCATGGATCATTGGCAAGCTGTCAAATGACTGTTACGGTACCTGTGTGGTACATTCACACATGGAATCTTTCTTCGTCGTCATAATTCACTCTCTCTTCATGCGTATTCGGATGCGGACTGGGCAGGTGATAAAGATGATTATGTGTCTACCAACGCTTATGTTGTTTACCTTGGTCATAATCCCATCTCGTGGTCCTCAAAGAAACAAAAAGGTGTCGCTCGTTCGTCGACCGAAGCTGAATACCGATCTGTCGCTAATGCATCATCGGAGGTCATTTGGTTATGCTCGTTGTTGCAGGAACTTGGCATATCTTTACCACGACCACCGACCATCTATTGTGACAACATGGGGGCAACCTATCTCTGTGCTAATCCGGTTTTTCATTCAAGAATGAAGCATATTGCCCTGGATTTTCACTTCATTCGCGACCAAGTTCAGACCGG